TTTCATACGCGTTTGGCCAATCAATGTCTACTTACGTCACGATTAGTACCAGTTGTGCTGGTTAGACCCTGCTCCAGACTAGGAGCTAATTTGGTTCTCGAAAAAGGCAGTCCGGTACTAAAATCGCTCCCAGTTCCGGCGGTGCGAAAACGCCAAAAAGTGGGTAGTTCCACAATTAGTTCTGGTACTATGAAAAGGTTCCTGTGGTGCGAAAGGCCCTTTTGATGTGAGAGAGACAAATCAAGATGTTTGCAATACAGGAAAACAATCCCTCCTCAGTCATGTCTCCCCCCACGTTATGACGCACATCAACGATCTCGGTGTTGCATCCTGGCAGCTCACTCTATCCAAAAAACATCTGAGTCACAGAAACATGACTGATCTGTTTTGTTTTCCACCACTCTCCCTCCCTTCATTCCTCTCAACCACTCCCACTAGAGTTTCACCGCCTCTCCCTTTCTTATACTCACTTTCCCTTTTCCCCTAACTCTGGTTTTCTGCCAAAATGTGAGATAACAAACCGGCAAAGTGACAAAGGAAAAAAATAAACCAGTCAAAGGGGAAAAAATGTGGTGTCAGACAGTATTAAACTCTTTTCTTTCTTGTTGTCTTTAATTGCACAACCTAAGACCAACTCATCAAACTTCATAATAACACGCGTTCACAGACTCACATACTTTCTCTTGTGAAATTCCTCTAACTTGCCTATATCACTTCCTTTTACCACAAAAGTACAGTCCTAAAAACTCCCTCACACACAACCGTTAGAGCTCGATGGAATGAACGAGGAGGACTTTACAGCCTACAACTTTTATATATTTTTTCCCATTCGGACAGTCCTGAAATACGAGTACAACCACACTCTCGTAAGCCTGGCTCTCTGTCATCATCACTGTCAAATGGCTACCGTGACAAGCATACACTGACTAAGCACTCCAGCAAGCCCCCTAAACTACATAATACATCATTCCTTGGTTTCACACACTCACACATGAAATGTGCAACCGACACCGTTCTGTCTTTACTCCACCTGTTAGGATCAAATTCACACCACAAACACACCCTGAATGTTCTAAAGTAACTTGAAATTAGTAATGGGACACCGTTCTACACACTTTCAATCCATTGGTCACAGAATGATTATATATTCACACCAAGTTTTGTTTGTTTTAGTCTGACCTATAGCTTTAACGCAGCTTTATGCCATCACAATAAAGGGGCAGTGACATTGCAGTAAGGCGGCTGATTCAAAACACCCGCTGGTCTGAGGAGGACTGAGTCTCGGCAGCTCGAAATTTACAACCCACAACTTTGAAGCGAAACAAATGCAGCCTCTCTGTTTTCATGTCAGTTGTGCTAATTGATCAGAAGTCGATCTTCAAAGTGATCTTCCTGTCCTTCATATACTCCCGTATTTACTTCCACGGGTGTTTATGACTGCCCGTAAAATGCAGTGTCCCAACTCGCTCCCCCAGGCATGCTCATACAACAAACACCTAACTGTTTCACTGTAATTTTACATGTTGTCAGCAATCTTTATTCAACATCAACACAAATATTCCTCCTAGCATGTTACAGAGTAATTTCCCCTGCATATTCCCTTAACCAAGACACTGGAATATGTTCAAATGCACATGTAAACGCTGAGAGAAAAAACACCCCACCCCCAGGCAGGGCTGGAGGCTTGTTGTAGTAGAAAACGATGCAAATGATTTCCTTTCAGACAGACGCATTCAGTTCAGCACGAGCAGGCCGAGGCAATCCATTCAGCTTTATGAGACTGCCCAGCTCGGCACATCCCCGCAGTGGAGCCCTGCCCTCCCGTGCCAAACAAACATAAATAAAGTGAGGCTCTTTTTTGGTTTGGTTTCAACTTCTTTAAAAAGAATTTATTGCAACATTTTTTTCGTCCATAGAGCTGAAAGGCAATAACATTCTGATGCATGAAGATAGTAATAAAAGAAACACTAGTAGTTTGGCATACTATTGTGCTATTGCTTAAAAAAAAAATGCAAATAAGCGAAGTAAGTTTTCAAATATTATTAAGAAGTCACTATGGCTTAACAAGTATGCAGGCTATTATGTTGTCATGTGACAAGAAAACCATATAATGGGACTGGTTTAGACACTCATGACTGTATCAAGGTCAGCACGATTTATATAAAACAAAGAAAAAAAACTTTTTGTTTTTGTTTTGATAAATAGTGTTTTATGTCTGCTTGACACAGGTAGGCAATGTCTGTTTGACACAGGTAGGCAGGACTCGGCAGTGGGGATGGGCCGGGTCAGTTTACACAGTGAACCCAACCCCCTTACACCGGACACACGTGGGACTGAGACTTTACGACCTACATCTAAACAATGTCTGCCTGAACACCCCGCTTGCACAGCGTGGCGATAAATTACACCGACAAACGCCCAACTCGAGAATTAAACAATGCTTTGATTTGTCTAAAGAATATCTCTCTAAAGACAGAAGGCCAGCCATTGTTTCAAAGGCACGAGTTGTGGGTAGTAAAGAGTTAATGCACTGATCTTGCGGTCACCGTTACTACAACGCTTTCATTCTCAGACTGTTGCTAGCCTGTAATAAGCTGTGCAATTTCTTTCAGTCACGGCCAACACTCAACTATGAAGTAGTCACGAGTTTACCATGGGGACAACAATGATAAAACAACTGAGGAAACTGACTTACCTTTAGTAGTAAAACTTGTTCAGCTTGCGTCTCCACTCGCGCTCCCAAAAGTTAGACGGGATCTGTTGGAGAATAAACGAGGACATCTTTTAGCTTTCCTTACAGATGATTCGAGACGTCTGATGTAGGCCACTCTGAAGGTGAAATGATTAAATTATGAGTGATCACATATAAAGAAGCTTGTTGCGCTTGTTATAAGCGATGCGGGAATAAAATGCAGAAGCGTCGCGTCAACGCTGCCTGAGAACAAAAACAAGGGCTAAAACACCAATGTGCGACTAAAATTCCCGTCAGTACCGTTGTATGTAATGTTGTTGCTGGGTAAGTCTCCGCTCTCTATAGCGAGCACAGAGCTGTGTCTGTGAGTTAAGGCAGGGATCGAGTTGCGGTGAGCAGTGAGTTTTTTGAAGGGACTCGCAGGCTCTCTTTCTCTCTCCTCAGCGCCGCCCCTCAGGCTCCTTTACGTCAGCGCGCACGGCCCCGGAATTCCCTTACAGCGCGGACCGCCGCGTCTCCGCCTGCTGCCTTATTTAAAATACTCCTGACTCGTGACTGTCCTACTCTCACGGCCACCCGGGACAGCGCTTCCGCCTCCTAACTATTAATAAGTCAGAACACGATAATCACGCCTCATCACACAAAAAATAATCGACAAAAAAATGCTGTACCCAAGACTCACTCTCCACTCACAACACTTCATACCATATATAGCCTTAGGACATGCTGTTCAGTACATAATGGGGCCAATAATAATAATAATTAATATCATCATAATTATTATCGATTATGTTTATTATTAGTAGTAGATTTTGTAATTTGTTGATTTCAATTTTGTCACATAATTTATATTTTTATATTTATTTATATTTATTAAACAACAACAAAGAAGATAATAATATTCCTTTATTATTATTATTATTATTATTATTTTGGCATACAATTTAAAAGCAAAAACAACCAATTACTAACAAAAAATGTAATCTGATGTTCAGATTAACTGAAAAACAGTATGGCAGTTATTGCGGGGTTTACTCAGGACATGATCCTTTTGAAGTTGAGAAAAAGTTAAAAATAATAATTTCACAGAGAATGATCTGAGAGCGGTGGACAAGCCAGATGAGCACTGTAAATCAAAGAGGAGTAAAAATAGGACAGACATAACATATGGACCAAGAAGTGCTGAAATAAAAAAAAAAGGACAGGAAACTGTGGATAAGAGTTTCAAAATTACACTGGAAGAGTATCTACTTTTTTCTGACTTATTCAGCAGTCACGATTGAAGTGTTTTTTTTTTTTTTTTGTAATGGCATCTGCCATGTCAGGATGTTTCTTGACTGTGAGGACAGCATGGTATGTTCATTTAATGGTCAACAGACGCTGCATATGTGTGTGTGATCAGCACGTTATTTTTAGCAAGGTTACATTAGTGGCAGCGAGACAAAACAGGCTGGTCAAACCACGGGAGTGTGTCACGGGAACCAGGCTTCTTGGACAGCAGCGGAAGGACATCACACACATACACAGGATGTAAGCCGCTCTGAGCACAACGTCTACCAAAAACAGGCAAACATCGACAACAGCAGATGTGCGAATGGCTTCTTTGGGAAACAGTGAAGAAAAATATGGCTTTTCTTCTTCTATTATTAGCAATCTATCTATCACTTCTCCTTATCACATTCCAGCTACAGCACTGTCTTTGCTGTTCAGAACGGTGGGTGTGGCGATGACCACATAATAGGATACACCAGACAGGGAGAAGGGATATGACCAGTGTGACGCCCTGTGATCTCTCACACCCACACTCACCCATTGTGCTCATGTACACTAACATACTATCATTACAACAGATATCAAGAGATGCATGCATGTTTTTTTTTTTTTTGAGTACTTTCATTCCAGAGGCAGGCTAGTAGTTCCGATTGGTTGGCTCTGGCCTTATAATCAGGGAGGGACAGAGCTCAGTCTCCCGTTCTCACACGGCAGCTAAGTATAGCAGCGTTCCCACGAGCACAGCAGAATCCAGTACACACACATACACAAAACTGAAATACACAGAACTGTCAGATGTGCAATGGCAAAAGTGAGTGGTATGTGTGCGTGAGAACTGACAGCAGCCTTTATATCAAGACTCTGCTCCCACTTTGTGGGCTCCACTGAGTCAGCACTAGGGTGCACTAGTTGTCACAGCTGCCACACATGGATGGATGGTTAAGAGGGTTAACTCCCACCTCTGCCCACTGTGCCTACATCTACTCCACATACACACACGTATGAATTACACTCCAAGAGTCCATGCCAACTGATTCTGAAAGTGAATGTCCCACTCAAATCGTAAGGGGACTGTAACCACCCTTTGAGGACATAGGAGGAACAATATATAAAAATAAGGATTGCAAGTGTAAGCAGCATTGCTAAATCTTACATTCAGTGATCTTGTATATGTGTATTTTTGCCTCGCAAACTTATTAACTATAGTTTACTGTCATATTGCATAAATAGTTTATCGCAAAGAAAACTTGACATTTAATGAGTCATATGAATATTGTTTTAGACGCATTTAGAAATTTAATTTATACTTTATTTTTAAGATTTATACTTGGCTTTTCTTTTCTTCTTACACACATATGCTCAACATCTAAACAAACAACACAGACACATAATGAATCATGTGTGTGTTTATATAAATATATATAAATAATTTCTCAAAATAAAATGTATAATTATTGTGGTGGAAATGCTGGAAGGCCATAAAAAAAAATTTAAAAAAAATTCCCGACTAGGACAGAAGAAAAATCCTTACTGTAATTTATTTTGGTACTCTTTCAGTTTTGACTTTCTCCAAATCTCCAACTTCTCTCTGTTTCTACCCAAAGCTGTAGCTTGAGGGTAACATTTAAAAGCCCCACTCAAAACTATTCTCTCTGTAGTATGAAAATTACAGCAATCTTTGGTAAGATAAAGTGGGTTTATTTGTTTATTGATGACTATAAAACAGAAGTGGTTAGGCCGCTTGACTTATGACCTTAAAGTCAAAAGGTCACACCCCTGCAGGCTGACAGCTGCTCTGAGTTAAAAAAAAAAACAGGCCTGCAGCAACAACTGTAAAGTCAAACTTAAAATCCAAAAGCTGTGTAACTGCCAAAAGCACTGCTATTACTTAGAAAACTGTTTAGGATGAAAATAAAACACAACAGGCCAGTGTTTACCTGGCTTTAATATAACCTGACTGATCACTCTGCGAGATGGAGAGACAGAGATGAAAAAAAAGTGTTATCTTTGCTGGAATCAAACCCCGATAGCAAATTTCATAGCTAACATCTAACGCTTCATTTTAAATGTCACTGTGAACCCTGACACACTCCATGAGCTCAAAGGTCACAGTGAGGGGGAGTTTACAGGATTTAGATGAGAAAATGCCAGTATCCATCTCCACTACAAAAAGACAGAGGACTAATCTACTCTCTGAAGGAGAAGAGAGGATTCAGGGGATTCTAAGAGAACACTGACCAAACAAGCATGAGAAAACCTAAGTCTACGAGGGACAGTGTGACACTCAGACTCAAAGTGTTCTTGATACAGACGAGAGGAGTGGTGCTCAGAGAGCATGAAAGTGAGAGACAGCCTGAGAGCGAGAGAGACAGAATGAAAAAACAATCTCCATACCTGCTGGGAAATCCAGCTCAAAATGGCAGCTGGTTTCTAGCTGGTAAACCAGCCTGAAATGAAATATGTTCTAAATGCATGTTATAGATCTTATAGTTAAAGGGTTAGTTCACCCAAAAATGAAAATTTTGTCATTAATTACTCACCCTCGTGTTGTTCCAAACCCGTAAGACCTTCGTTCATCTTCGGAACACAATTTAAGATATTTTTGATTAAATATGAGAGCTCTCTCAATGATGACATCATTACGCCGGATCTGGGTCAGCGCCGGCACCGCCACACGCTCGCGTCATGGTACTGTCGTGAACGCGCATCCACAAGTGATGCAGTAGAGACGAAAATGTGGAATAAAGTCGTTATTTTTGTTTTCTTTGTGCAAAAAAGTATTCTCGTTGCTTCGAACAACACGAGGGTGAGTAATTAATGACAGAGTTTTTACTTAAGTTTACTTAAGGCGGGCGTACACGGTGCGATTTTTGCTGTCGTACGAGCTCGCAGGCGATTTTTTTATCTCAGGAGAAAATCGCAGATGCTAGCATGGTCGCAGCTCGAACCGTGTGAGAAGAATTACGGGCCGATCAGAGAACGTTACGAGCCCCTCCCGTGCTCCTGATAATTTTCAAACATGTCAAAAAAAATCGGACGCTGTCGGTTTAAATTCGTGGCGTATGTGCGGTTGAACAAGACGATTTGGCGATCCATCTGAAGTTGACCAATCCGAAGATGACAAAAACCACATATTATGTATATAAATAGTCTATATAGTAATTTTAGTTTAATTATACAGCTCTATTTTTTTATTTGTTATTCCGAATTGTGGCAAATTTGCCGTTCAGCTTTATGAATAAATATGCCTGTTGTATTTCCGGCAAAACGAGCAGAAATTCAGAAATAGCTTACTCGCCTCGAGTTGTTTATGAAGAACAGAAAGTCCATGCTTTTCTTCTTTGCATTTTAGCCATTCTCTTTGCCATGTCCTTCGCCTTCGTTTCTTTCTTTTAATTTTTGGACGTCACAAGCCATAGCTGCCTGCCACAAAGAAAACTATTTCATCCTCAGAATCCATATTTTTATGAATGGTGCGAAACGTAATGCTTACGTCAGAGTTTGTAAAATCGTAGTAAATTCATGTTGTGTGTGACTGCCTCTGTACGATTTTCAGATAAACTTAATCGTGACATGTGCGAGGGTTCACGACGTTCCGACCATCAGAATCGCACCGTGTATGCCCGCCTTTAGCTATCTAAATGGGGACATTACATAGACTTACATTACATAAATGTTTTAACCTAAACCCACCCCTACCCCTCACAGAAAACTTCCTGCATTTTTACAATTTCAAAAAAACTTTGTTTACTTTATTTTTATACCAGTTTTACAAATGAGGACGTCCCCAAAAGGAGGTTTTTGAAGATTTTGTCAGGTTTAGCTCACTTTTGGGTACAAATTTGTCCCCAAAATATGGTTAAGTAGGTACACACACATGCCCTGCACAGGCCTCAAATGGCGCTTTTCCACTGCATGGTACGGCACGGTACAGTTCACTTTTGGGGGGTTTTCCACTGGGTACAGTACCTGGTACCTGGTACTTTTTTTAGTACCA